AAAATGCTAAAACACTAATATTCCATGGTTAGAATTTATTATATTGGAATCGTATTCACGATCCAATTCATCAGACCTACCAATTCAAAAGAAATAGATATATATATATATATATATATATATATATATATATATATATATATATATATATATATATATATGGGATAATATCGTATACAATGTTTATATATTAGAATTTATATATTAGAACTTTGTCCTTTATATACATTAATGTCTAGTTATGTGCTATTTCTTCTCAATGTATTTTTCTTATACTTTTTTTAAAACTTTTTTTTTTGATTTTGATATATCGGTATCTGCTTTTTATTTTCACTTTTTTTTCTTTTATCATATCACATGTCTTTTTGTTGGGATATATGGAAAAGCGATAGAAATTAAGGAAATGTCCAAAAGCTTTCGTCTGACGAGTCGTGACCTTTAGGGCTTCATTACACTAACGTAATATTTACATTGATGCGATTACACATTCGCTGGAAATATAGCTAAGTGGTATATCACGTCAGATCAAATAAACGTTCTGTATAGAGAATTTTTTATAATGTAAATATATATATATAATCGACTCTCCCGTCGAGTTCGACGTATGAGGGTCAGGCCGATAAGTTTCCAGGAAACCGACATCCCGACATCGGCACATGAGATTTGATTATAGTGGTGAAGGCCTCGTGCAGGACCAGCCACACTTTTTGGAGGGACGAATACAGAAACCTGGTGCACCGAATGCCACAAGGTTCCCAAACGACCCTCCGCAGGTTTTGAATTCAGAGTTGTCCTTCTCATAGACCAGTTGCCATCCAAGGCTATAGAACCCAGTCTGTCCTGCTATTTTACCCATAGCTGGAGGGAAATGAAGAGGATTCATACCTTTCCCAAGGGTATTAGCACGTAAGTGAATGTAATGGATTCGACCTCGGCTCTGCGAAAAAAGAGAAACCGGATGGAAATTTAGAGTCAATGTCCCAGAATTACAAGAAATTTCTTCGGAAATTACTTCTTTTAATAAAAGTGTCATTTTTTGAAAGAAAATTACTAATGAATTGAATAAGTTACAGTGTAACAGATCTCTTTTATGTTCATCGTTTCTTTACATTCCTTGATGTTTCTTTTTGAACAATGTATTCCTTTGAACAATTATTCCTTCATAGTTCTTCCTTTCGCGTCACACGAAAACCTTTACCATTTTACCAATTTTTATTATATCTTTCACCTTAAATTATTCTTGATATATAAAAATAATTATATCATTGATGCATGATCTATTAATTAATATAGACAAGTTTTGTCTATTTATTTGAAGTAAGTTCCTTTCATATTGTCTGATGAGCTTAATAACATTATCATTGAAAGGGGAAAGGAAAACACCATATTGATTCATGTTTAAATCCAATCTAAGCTTTTTGCTTACGTAAGCCATTATCAACGATGACAAATACTTTTCAATATATCAAACAATACACGGACGAAACAATAATTATAGTCTGTTTTGTTGCATGAAAAATTTCAAAGCAACGACTAACTCGTGTATACGAGACGTGGAAATGAATATTGCGTTGCAGCTCGTGACGTCACACATGACCACGCGAGAGTGAAAACGAGAAGTATTAAGTATGGGAAGGCGTTGGTTACCAATTATAGGCATTTAAGAATATTTGTGGAGATTTCATAGTTTATTTTGTTCAGGTTAGGCTTAAACTATTTTATGTATATAGCTTCAAGAATTTTTAGTTTTAGTTAATTTTTTTCATGTTTAAGTAGTGTTTTGTTTTCAACAATGATTTTCAGGAATAGTGTACGCGACCACGCATGTTGTTTTAAATGACCACAAATGTTAGAGTTATCATTCAAATATATAAATCACAGCAACTCTTTTACAAACACACACACACACACACACACACACACACACACATATATATATATATATATATATATATGTGTGTGTATAATAAAATCCGAAATCGGTTTATATGGGAAATAAGCTTATTTCGACCTTTCGATAAATAAATTGAGCTCTTTTTGTGAATCAGTTTTCATATTTTATATTACTAGGATCCATTTATATTACAGATGAATTATTACCTTTACTTTATGACATATATATATATATATATATATATATATATATATACATATATATATATATATATATATAATAGTTGCGGTGACCAACACAGTTATTGCCCAAAAGCATATAAAATAGAGCTAAAGAAATCTAAAACAAGAAAAGCAAATTACAAAACAACCAAAGAAAAGAAAAAAAAATCAAGTGTTCAACGGCTAATCTCCCTCGCTCTCTCACTCTCTCTCTCTCTCTCTCTCTCTCTCTCTCTCTCTCTCTCTCTCTCTCAAACATGTGCTCAATACAAAATTCAAAATCGAATATCCAGAACTAAGGCATTTATGAATAGACTATAATGCTAGCCAACCTCGCAATCTGGGTTTCAACTGTATAGTCTCCTCAGGCAAGTGGAATGATGTTGATGCCAAATAAAACTAGTCCAATATACGAGAACACCGGAGTTGTGGGGAGGAGGGAGAGCAAAAATGAGGAAAAGAGCGGAAAAATAATTATTTTCATTTCGCTCATCTGGGTTCATAAGTATTTAAAACTATTTACTTAACTGCCTGCACCCTGGCCTAATTTCAGTTCTCTCATTTAATAATACACCTTTATCAGGATCTAAGGCAATGTCCAATTTCTCTTCCTGGCACAGCCGGCAAGAGTTAGCACAAATTCTGACAGTTTTTACCTTTTACCATGTTTACTCCTTCCATAACTCTCTCTGTATTTCCAGACACAATCAGCAAACTTTTTGGCATTTCTATGGTTCTTAAGCCAGTGTCAGGGTGCAGGCATTAAATATATTTTTTAGGTACCTATGAACTCGAATGTGCGCAATGAAAATAATTATTATGTGAAATGATTAATTAACCTGTAAATGTCAATTTTATCCCTACTTCTAAGTTTCTTGGTAAAATTTCCAGTCTTCTGGAGTTGAGGTTTTACACCGTATTTCCAATTTTTATCAATGTTTTAAATTTTTCGGCGTGGAAATTTAAAAAAAAATGTAAATAACGTTAAGAATCACAACCCCTGAAGACTGGAAAAATTTCCAGGAAAATTTGAAGAAAAGATTGATATTTAAAAGTTAAGTAATCTTTTCATATAATTTTATTTACGTTCTATTTTTTAATATTATTTTATTATTTTCGATATTGAGCACTATATATAACATACCTGCTATTTCTTATATTATATATTATATATATATATATATATATATATATATATATATATATATATATATATATATATATATATATATATATATATTTATGACGGTCACTTACGTCGTTACCGACACATGCATGCCAAAAAGAATAATCCTGCTTTATTTTCCATCTTCGTTTTAGGGTCTTCTGTAAAAGGCTGTGCTGTAGCATACTCACGGACGTTAATGTATATGTTGACATTCACTTAAATGCAGTAGTACATACTGTATGTTGTTATGCAGTTTGGCGATTTGTCTTCAGCTATGCTGGTCAAACTCTCTGCCTCCGGGAGGAGTGGATCCCTAGACGAGGCTATGCCGAAGGGCACAGTCTCATCTAGGGTAACCCCGTTTTATATGGGTCTACCGTGATTTTTTGGACGAGTCTACGGTCTCGGATATCCCACATTAAATTCGGCCTTGTGCCAGATCTGACCGAGTGGGTCGGTTGGTAGATATCCTGCTGTTGGAGATACATTGTGTAATTCACTTCACTCACTTCTAGCATTTGACTATTCCTTCTATGCGTCGCTGGCGAATCTTATATGTGATGTTCTTGTCCTAGATATTATCGTTCATTTCCAACTTTCGTTTGATTATTCTATTCGTCCCCTAGGTAACAACCGGCTATAACTTGTACTATTGTAAAACGTACTGCGTCTTTTACACATAAATGTTGACGAGATAATGTATTCTTCTGAATTTGTTTTCGATCACTTTTCTGTTCAATTCTTGTGTGGATTTGGCTTCCTATGTCACTGCATTGTTTTTTTTTACTACATAATACAGACAGCATAGGAGGTGCGGTGGAGTAATGGATAGCAGCTCGGATTGAGGAATCGGAGAGTGAGTTCGAATTCCAGTCAAATCCATTATATTCACTTACGTGCTAATAGCCTTGAGAAAGCTATGAATTCTCTTCCCCCCCCCGTCATTTACCAATAGAACCCAACTATAGAACCCCGCTTTAGAACCCGGTACCTCCTGCTATTTACTAATAGCAAGACAGACCGCGTTCTATAGCCATGGGTGGCCACTTGTCTACCTCAGAAAGAAGTGCAACCTACTACGGGGAAAAAAATCTGCCTCGTCAGTTATATATATCGAAAGATACATGATCGTCTAAGCGTGTACCCCGCACATAACTGACTGAATACAGACAGCAGCATTATCTTCAATCATTTGTTTGCTGTTTGCAAGTAAGTTTGATTTTATCCTTTCAATTTATCTTTGTATCTGTGAAGATGTTTTCCTACGTTAAGCATCCGTGGCCATAAGTTACAATTTTTGGAATTTTTTTATCATTCATCCTAACATCATGACAAGCCGATCTCAATAGAGACCGCATCAAAAAGGCGTCCATGCTTTATCTATCACATTTATCAAACATCTGCTTATTTGACATTATCTTTCCATCTGGAACGACATATATTTCTGGATAATCTGCTTTCTATACAGTTCCCATAATTCACACCCATACCCATACAACTTTGGGATGATAAATGCACGGAAACTTGAAATTTTGTTATTCAAATTCAGTCCTCAACTGTTCCAGTCTCTTGCTCATATCCAAAGACATCACTGGTCTAAGCGCTCTTATTTTGTATTTATATATTTATATCTAAATATATATAGAGTTTCCACAAAATTTGTTGTCCACAAAAATATGACGGGGATGATGATCTGTATTGATTCCTATGAAACGTCATGTCTCTCTTTTCGATAGGTGTAGATTTGGGCTGTTTTCTTATTGTTAGGCATTTGCTGCAGAAGAAATTCTTTTCACGATTTTCGTGTGCTTCCTGAAAAGAATTACCAAAGCAGCATCACCTGCAAAAAAATAATTCTTAAAGCGTTTCTTCCGAGAAGGATTCTTTGACTTATATCTGTCGCGAGTCAAAAGTCAACCAGCTGTTCTAAATTCAAACAATATGGTATACTCCAACACACACACAGGCTTGCGCGTGCACACACACACGCACACACACACACACGCGCGCGTGCGCGCCCCCGTTTGTATGTGTGCACAATGGTGCGATGGGTAAATTGGCGCGTTGTTTGTTTTTAACTTTTGACTTCACAATCTAGTAGAGTCAGTTGGAAACCATCTGTGAAAGGAAAAAAAAAGAAGCTCTATGATGCAATTTACTATTCCAGAAATTTGGAAACGGTACGCTGTACTGCTTGGCATTCAAAGCGGAAGATCGTATACAAACCTTTGGGTGTCAATTTGGGCAAAGTGCTGAGGATTTTATGCCTTCAAAAGATGGGACGAGAGTGATGAAAACCAAATATTCAGTAAACATCATGGTGTTTGGAGCGATTACCAGTGATGGCGACGTTCAGCATCCTTTCATATTCCCGCAGGTCTCAACCTGACTGGAAGACCCAATGTCTGGCAACAGTATTCTATACCATGGCACACAAGCAGTAGAATCCAGTCTTGGCTTTAAGACAATTTCTGCGACCACATCACCCCTTAGATCTGGCCACTAACTCCACAATCATCATCCCCTTCATAATTATTTGTAGAACGCAGTTGAGAGGTAGAGAACCAAAACTCCATGTAATACCAACGATGAACTGATAGCGAGTAATATGGCAGTATTCACCAACATAAACAAGGTGACTGTTCAGAAGAGTTGCAGGAGATTCCGAAGTCGTCTGGAGGCCGTGTTGGAGCCAAAGGCAATTTTATTGAAAAAAATTACTCTTTAGCATTTCAAGATATTTTTGTGTAATTTTGGCAAATATATCTGTTAAAATGAGATGTCAGTGTTATTTTCATTTTTGAATAATTTTGACAAAAATTTATCAATCGCAGCCTATGCATAGATATATTCATCAGCTTAAACAAGGAGACCGTCCAGAAGAGATGCAGGAGATTCCGAAGTCGTCTGGAGGTTCTGGCGATTTTATTGAATAAATTTACTCTTTAGTATTTCACGATATTTATTCCTAATTTTGGTATATGTATCTTTTAAAATGAGATGTCATTGTTATTTTCATTTGCACGTAATTTAGACGTCAAATTATCCATCTTAAAGCTTATCCATATATACATTTCCCAAGTTTGTTATTACCACTTTCCCCAATAGTAGATCGGCAAAATTAAAAGTGTTATGTATTTTGCAAAACTTGATACTTTTTATAAGTTGGCAAATTGAAAGAAATCTATTGTTTTGGCAGCCTGTGATGATATCATGGTGCAATGTCAATTACGGATGCAAAGTTTTGTATAATTCCTTTTTGTAGAACTGCCTTTCTACAAAATGACGCTGACTGTCCTGCGTCTTGGACATATGGGTAACGAGGATTTTTTAAAAGGATGCTTGAAACAAAAAGGACACTTGTACTTAGAATCAGAACAGATACATAAGTAAGAAAGAGGGCTTGGAGAATTTGACACTCACAGTACATATTGAATGCAGGGAAGAATTGCTGGAAAGTAGCGATTAACCAACTTAAAATGATAACGAAATGAGCTATAATGGATACGGAAGTTGTGGACAAGCACGATTGTCAAGTGGAAAAAAAAAAACAAGGCACATTGAACAAAAACAATTAGAAGAAGCAGCTGATGATAATAATTAAGAAGAAACAGAAAAATATGAGGTTGATGATGATGATGATGATGACGACGAAGTAGAAGACTGTGATGATGATAAAGATTAATACATAAGTAAAAAGAAGCAAGAGAATAAAAAAAATGGAACAGCAAGATCAGCGGCAGCACCGGCAGAAGAAGGATCAGGTTATGATGATGATGATGATGATGGTGATGATAAGGAATGTACATCAGTTTGTTCCTATCTATCTATCTATCTATCTATCTATCTATCTATCTATCTATCTATCTGTCTATCTCATTTACATAAGTTTCTTTCTTTCTTTCTTTCTTTCTTTCTTTTTTTCTATCTATCTATCTATCTATCTATCTATCTATCTATCTATCTATCTATCTCATTTACATCCCTGTGTTCCTATCTATCTATCTATCTATCTATCTATCTATCTCATTTACATAAGTTTCTTTCTTTCTTTTTTTCTATCTATCTATCTATCTATCTATCTATCTATCTATCTATCTATCATTTATCTATCTATCTATCTATCTATCTCATTTATCTATCTATGTTCTTATCTATTTATCTATCTTTCTATCTTTCTTTCTATCTATCTATCTATCTATCTATCTATCTATCTCATTTACATAAGTTTTCTTTCTTTCTTTCTTTTTTTCTATCTATCTATCTATCTATCTATCTATCTATCTATCTATCTATCTATCTATCTATCTATCTTTCTATCTATCTATCTATCTATCTATCTCATTTGCATCACTGTGTTCTTATCTATCTCAAGTAGTAGTAGAATAAGAATAAAAATATAAAGAAAAATAAAAAGAAAAGAAGAAATTTTCTCTTGACTAATGGCTGAATATATAAACAAAATAGTGCATAAAAGTATGTCCATGATCAATGCGCAAACTTCACTCGTCTTGAGGAGAAAAAGGTGTCATGTAATCATAGGCTACTTTTAGTAATTTTCTGGCTTATCATTGACGTAAATATTTAAAATGAATTCTGAAGAGGATGTTCCATCTAATGCCTACAGATCGCAAAACTTATTTTCGCTCTATTTTTTTTTTTTTTTTTTGCGTTTGTTGATTATAAGCGTGGTTTATCACGTGTAAATAATCAGGATAGTGTCATTTTTTTGGGATCAGTAGCTATCGATTCCATTTTTCCGAATGTCAACAACTGAATTGATGTCTTTGGCAAGGAAAAATATTCCGGAAATAGCGAAATCAGATGCCATTTGAAAATAACAATTCTTTGCAAAAGTGTTGATTCCTGCTGATAGAAGCAAAACACATATTTGTCTATATTTCTGAGATGAGGTATTATGTACATTATTTACATTATTCCGACTATTGTCCTCATCTTTTGTCGCTTTGTCGAACTGAGACCTTTATTTCGCTCACTGGGGTAGACTATTCTACTTCCACGTGCCATGTTTAATTATTAGTTAATAAAGGCGTTAGTTAGATCCAGTGACAGGACCCAAAGAGTGTGAGTTCAATACCCGATTAAGGTAGTGGAGAAATTTCAGAGGGAAATTTGCTGATAACTGACATCAATTAAACGTGGAACTAGAACAGTCTACCACAGTGAGAGAAATAAAGTGTTCAATTCGACATTTCAACGTCCTAAAGAACGCCGGAGCGTACAACGGCCGAAACGTTGTAATAAATATGGCGACAAAGATGAGACCAAATAGGAGTGATATATGAAAGGATGAAGAGAAGGATGGGGGATAGATCAAGGCATCTGGAATGGTCGATTGACATTACATTTGAATAGTAGGAGATTATAGCTATCAGAGAAACAGGAAAGGGGAGGGACTTCCATAGGCGAGAGGTGCGAGGCGTGAAGCTATTGGAGTAGAAGAGACGGCTATATTTAACAGTTTGGACATTGAAAGGGTGAGAACGAGATGGCAGCCTAGTAGAACGCTTAAATTCATGAAGTCTGGGAACCAGCGAAAGCAGCTCATCGGAGCAGTTACGATGAAATCATTTATAAAAAAGACAGAGGGAGGCGATAGCATGTCTGTGAGAGAGCGACTGCAGACGAGATGCCAGATCAGGGCCAATTACATTGCATATCCGTCTCTGGATCTTATCAAGCACCTTGAGACAAACATAAGGGGCAGCAGACCATATATGGCAGCAATACTCCATCCAAGGGCGAAAGGTTGATTTATAGATTTGAAGGATCGACTCCGGCGAGAAAAAGTTCCTGGTGCGGCACAGGGAGCCAGCTCTCCTAGCGGTGGACGCAGCTATTGGCTCAATGTATTTGTTCCACCTCAGGTCAGCAGTCAATGTGAGACCGAGCAGTCGCAAAGAGGAGATCTCGAGAAGGTGAGCCTCAGACATTCTAATTGAGTGCTGGGATAGAAAAGGAAAGAGAATAATTATGCACCACATTTATACTAACGCGTTATTCTCTCGGTGGGGGGAGTAACAACCCATATTTGCCACATGCATTTTACTTATCCTCGTTGATAAGTGGAGGTATATTTTTATATTGCCTTAGTTCTTTATCTCTATGTATTTTTGAATGTTAATCTTGCATTTCTTAAATGCAATTCCATTTCAAAATATTAATACAGGTTTTGCCGACTGCACAGTACAGTTGGGTTAGTGGGACATCGTCAGTGAGAAAAAATCACACTGATGCAATTCACTCTGCCAGAAATTTGGAAACAGCATGCTGTGCTGATTGGCATTCGCACTGGAAGCTCCAATACGAACATTTCAGAATGCGTCGGTGTCGATCTGAGGACAGTGCTGAGGATTCGGAAAGAGTTAGAAGGATATATTCAGTCAACATCATGATCTTTGGGATGATCACAAGTGCTGGCGACGTTATAGCTCGATTCAGCTTCCCCCAGGACATCAGACTTAACAGGGAGGGCTACATGAAATACCTTGAGGAAGTATTGATGCCTTAGGTCAATAGGTTAGCTGCTGGAAGAACCTATATCTGATAAGAGGGTTCTACACCATGCTAAACACACAGGAGATCCCAGTTATGGCAGTCGGATAATTTCTGTGATCACAAAAACCCTTACATCTGGAATCCTAACTCGCCAGAGTGCAACCCCCTTGATTATTATATGTGGGGCGCAAATGAGCGAGGGATCAACAAAACTCCTTATAATACCAAAGATGAACTGAATGCAAGGATTATAGCAACATCCACGAAATTAAACAAGTAGAGCGTCCACAAGAGTTGCAGGAGATTCCGAGGTTTTCTGGGGGCCGTGGTTAAAGCCAATAGCGATTTTTTTGAATAAATGTACTCTTTAGTATTTCAAGATATTTTTTGTGTAATTTTGGTAAATATATCTTTTAGAATGAGATGTCAGAGTTACTTTCAATTTTGCGTCATTTAGACGGCAATTTATCCATCGCACCCTGTATCTGTTAGTCCTATATTTTGCTTGTTATCCATTGTCGTGCTTACTCCTAAAAAAAGATACGACAAAAAGTTTTTCGCACCAGAAATATTCTGATTTCTTCTTCTATGATTTGTCTTCACAAGAATCTGATTAGACCAAACTCTGAGTGTTACTTCAAAGCTCTTTCTGGAGTTGCCGATGCTTTAAATTCCAATCTTGAGTTTAAAATCATTTCCACAGTCTTACATACTCCCACTATTTTAAAACAATTTAATAAAAAACAAATATTTATTTAATAAAAATGTGATATTCTTTTTGAATGTATTTTCTTTCAGTTTTTATATATACAAGAATCAAGTTCCCAATTGGCCCTGCGGTTTCGAGAACTATAAACATATAAAAAGGCCAGACGCTTCAAAAAGTTGGCTACAGAAAGAAATATTTACGCATGGTCAGTTGTAAGTTGCATGCTCAAGAGTAAGAAATCCTAAGAATTTATTATTCGCTGTTAAAACGGAAAAATAGAAAAAAGAAAAAGAAAAAAGAAATTTACTTAAAAATATTGTTTACGATGAAGTCGTATAAAATTAAAGAAATAATGAAACTGAATAGTAGGTTTTTTTGTCAAAGTAGTTTTCCAAAAAAGTCAGCTTATTTAAATTTCATCGATTGTTTTGTGAAATTTAAAGAAACGTAGAGTTTGAAAATATCGACATAAATGTTAATGTTAACTTCAACAACACTAAATATTGTGAATATATCAACAGCCGTCAGCGTGTTGCAAAAACATTCTAGTTAGATAGTTTTCTTCACCAACATATTTTGTAGCTGACAAAGGCAATGCAACTGTAGTGATGGACAAAACGGCATATATAGAAAAACTTGAAGACTTTAATGCGAATGGTAGCTACAGCACAGTATAGAAAGATCTTACAATGAAAACGAAACGCAATCTTTTAGAGATCCTATTCAAGAACAAGGATCACTTTGTACCTAAGACATAGAAGCAGTTGTCACAGCGTTACACGAAGCTACCTAACATATAATTTCTCTAAAAAATTCACAAAGACGTTATTTCGCCCAGGCTCATTGTTAGATTCTAAGGCACTTCCTAGTAGATATAATCGACACATTAATATGAAAGTCACCAACGTATGTCCAGAACTCCGCTCACTTCGTAGAAATAATTAAAGATGCTCCCATCCAACCCAATCAGATGGTGAACCTGGACGTGGTGAGTTTATTCACCAAGGTACCCACGGAGGAGGCACTCTCGGTAGCTAGGGACAGACTGGCCTCGGACTCATCCCGAGGAAAATGCACCAGTATACCAATAGTACGCAAACAACATACTTTGGAATGGGATCAGACATATATTGACAGGATGAGGGCTTAGCTATGGGCTCGCCATTATCACCATCAATGGCAAAACTATATATATAGAATGCTTGGAGAGTTGACTTAAACTGAGATATCCGGAAGAGACATGGCAAGTGGAACTAGAACAATCTACCCCGGTCGACGAAATAAAGTGTTTGGTTCGAAATTCCAAACAACTGAAGAACGCCGGAGCGTACAATAGCCGAAACATTGCGAATACAGCAATGGAGATGAGGATAACAGTCCAAAAAATGTAAATAATGTAGATAGATAGATAGATATCGAGAGACTGAGTAGATAGATAGATAGATAGATAGATAGATAATATAAAGTTTTTGGTAGTAGATAATTGTTAGATATATAAGTACACTCGAATAGAATGTAATTTATATAGAATTCTTGTTTTCGACCAGTATTTTTCTTAAGGTTTCTTATAAATTATGGATTAATATTTTTCTTATGGCACTATGTTCAGATAAGTGACACCTAATGCGTCTATTCAAGAAGATGATAGTATATCCGATATTGGTATTTGATTTTTGACAAGAAATCTACCATCAACTTTATACTATTTAACAGTGGAAATGGATTTTTGAAAGTTTAAAAAAAATAAAAATACAAAAGATTTTCCAGCGAATACAAGTCGCGCGTGAATGTGAGAGATTGCAATGACAGCTCCCTTTTCAAAAAACAACACAAACATAATTGACAACGTAACAGTCAAAACATGAGGAAAAAATACCAACACCAGAGACAAAACATCTTAAAAATGGCTATCGAATTGGCCAAAAGCGCATGGGACAAAAAAAAAAAAAAATTAAATCCGACAAAACGGAAAAATCTTAGGATTTGGAAGAACTTAATAAAAAATGAATTCAGTCTCCTTGTCGTCCGTATTCTATGAAAGATGTTTGAAAGAAAGCTTTGCTAATATATATATATATATATATATATATATATATATATATATATATATATATATATATATATATATATATAATAATAAAAACTTAAAC